GCGTTGTGTAGCTGTTTTTTCCTTAAATTCTTTCAAACATTCAACATAATCCTCAAATGCAATTTTATTTTTAACAACATTGTACTTAACCCCTTTAGATTTTTTAACCACCTTCCCACCCTGCACCTTGTAACTATACATTTTGCTTCGAAGTCCAACAAAATGTGTCATAATTTTACCGTTATTTTCATCTTTCATTAGACCCGGCACCTTTTTGTTCTTACGCAGTATTTTATATATGTTATTTTCAGGATAATCCGAAGTATCAAATTTACTGGAATCAGCTTTAATGATCTCCTCATATGCATCCTCACATTGCAATTCGTAGATAAAACTGTCTGTGTCCATGTACATGAGCTTACACCTTTCTGCACCCATTTTTGGTAGCATATAGGTGTAATGAAAATCATACATGACTAGTTTCGATAGGTCTAGAATTGCCTGCCCTACATACAGAGGTTTGTTAAACGTTATTTCAGCCTTGTTCAATTCGATAACCACCAGATTTTCCTCTAAAATTGTGCGACTGTGGAACCGAAAACTCGAAATCAAGTTTGCTGCCCCATAGCGACCACCCCAAGATTTAACGATTTTACATACGCGGTGCTTACGTATATTTTCCATGGTCTTACCGAATACTGCATTATTCATTAATTTAAAAAGATTTTTTTCGAAATCATTCCGGGCTGCAGCTCTACATCGAGTATTCAACTCGATGTAGGGTTTCAGCCAGGCTGCTTGTTTAAATTGTAAAATTTTATGGATTTTCGTTAACTTTAACCCATTAGCTAGCATTTGTTTTAAATTTTTATAGTGAACCGTGTACTCTTTTTTATCCGTAAGTGTTGCCATTAATTTCGGCAATTTTACCCCGCCGTCGCTGGGTGGTACGCTACGTTCTGCCGCAAACGGAAAATCTTTGTGTTTATCGTGCAGTTCTTGTGGGTACGATAGATCGACTTGTAGCACGTACCCTACGTCAGAGTCGTCGGGTATTGACATCACATCAAACGATGTTACATCATCTACCCATTTGAACCCTCCGTAGGGTAAGGGTTGCTGCATAGCATTCCCATATAAGTTATTCACATCCAGGTACATAAGGTACTTGGACGGCTTTTCAGGATCATATTCGGGCATATATTTATTGTTGGCCTCCGAAAATCGGTTGCTACACACCGAAATTCCACCTCTTATAGCATTTTCGTAAAACATCACCATATCTAGATCCTTTAGTAGTTCTAACTTACACCCAGTGTATTTGAGCATACAGTCCCACGTATATCCGGGCATTGTATAGTACCACGCAGGATCCAGACCATAGGTGGAGAAACATTTTTTACGCAATTGCTCAAAAACGTCGGCAAGAAGCAGAATATCTGTTTTTAAATATATATCAGAATACTCTCCTAATGTTTTAATGTTAAACTGTTGCCAAACAGATTGCGCATGAGCATACTTCTCGTCACTTACACTTTCATCGTTTAATTTATTGTAAAATTTTTCAATTGGGGGCAAAGTCGTTTCATTTAATTTTTTCAACGAATCAATGTAATCGTAACAGAAAACTCCTTTCTGTGTTAATAATTTGAATTTATCTTCATCTAAATTTTGAAATTCCCTTTGTAAAATTTTCTTTTCTGATTCTGCTAAAATTGAAGCTAATTCATCAAGAGACGCCCCCATAAATCGAAAAGAGTCTATAAACCGCAATTTAATGTTATTTTCATCTGAGTGCAGCGTAAAGGAGATGTATTTATCTTTGTTGATGGGAAGTAGACTTAAGCGACCTTTTTTACATAAATTCGAAATCATAAAGTGACTATCGTACCCACTTAAATTATGGAATATAACCGGCACAACAAACAATTTTCTAAAGTTCAGATTGCATGCTTGGTGTGCGTAACCTCTGAACTCTCCACTGAAATGGTTGTGATCTCTAACGATTATGTCTTTTTTTGTTTTTGAAAATCTCTTACCGCAAATATGACATGATGTTGCCTTACATGTGTCTAATTTTTCAATCATAGGTACGCTTGTTTTTATTTTTGAGTTTACAAATTGCGCAACACCAGCCATACGATTTGCAAACCAATCCATACAATCTGCACCTCGATAGCTCTCGAAATAAGAAAGGCTATCATCATAGCTGCATTTTACATAGAAACCAGCACTATACGGAACGTGTTTTTGATATTTTATGGTTTTAGTTAAATTTACGACGCTACTTTCTTTATGATTTTCTAATTGACATTCAAAATCTGCATAAACAACAAAAGGAGTATTTTGTTGGTATGTAAAGTTTTTAAATTCAACGCAGCTCTCTTTAGGAAGGTTAATTTTATATTTATTAAATTTAGAACACAGTTTTTCATGTTCAACTAATTTATTTTGCTGATGGAAATAGTTCAGACATCTATCGCAAATAAATTTTTTCTCACGATGTTTATTTAACTGGCTACTAATAAGACGCGAAAGATTTTTAATCCAACAATAGTGATATTTAATTTCATCGATTGAATCATTATCTTCATTTGCTGGCGCTGGTGGAGGAGCATCATAATCATTTAAACGCGGATAATATTTATTTTGAGCTAAAAGTAAATTAACATGCGTATCCCGTTTATTTTCCGTTAATCTTGCTGGTACTACTATGTAAAATGATTTTTTTTCTGTTTCGATCAATTCTAAAGCGTAAACATTGACTGAAATGTTATTCATCTTTTCAAATTTTGAAATTTTTGTTAGCAGCATAGGACTATCTAAATTTTCTGTTTGTAAAACGTCAGTAAAGTGTGGATATGAGGAGGTTAGTTCTGCATGTCTTTTATTGCTAGGAGTCCGAAGAGCGCTTACAATGGCCCAGTAAAAGCAATTTTGATCTATATTTTTAATGTTTATACAAGCATTTTTCCTTATAATCGGTTCTGGTAGTCTAATATAAGATGAACCGTTTCCCAATTGATATTTACTGATATTAACAACTAAGGAAATAATTTTATTTAACGCAAATCCCGAATCTTTTTCAGCAAATTCCGATAATTCGTTTAAAAGTTTATCTTTAACATATATCTTAAACCACTCGTCTATTTGAGTTGATGTATCAATAATATGATTTTTAGTATTAATATATTTAATTCCCAAAATTTCATTATCCCCCGATTTCCTAATAAACTCCCCGCAAAATGTTGTATTTACTTTGAGCGCACAATGGGTGTTCAAAATATTCCTAATTTTCCTTTTAAAAACAACTACACAATCTGCTAAAAATTGATTCAAGTCCTTATGACGCAAATTAGCTATGGAACCGGTTTTTATTCTACTTTGAAAGCTCGATTCTACATTTTCCCATCTAACCCTCTGACCCAATGTTAAGTGAAGTCCTGCCCCAATATGTCTAGTTAAAATCAACTTTCTAAAATGTTTAAAATGCCCCAAATTTGTTTCTACTTTTCTACAGGTCCCTACAGATAATTTATTTTGCCTTCTACTACGAATTACCCGTTTACATAATCTAATTTGTTTTTCTATTCGTTTCAGCCACACTTCCGCGTCTCTGATTGTAAAATTATCAAATAAAATTTTCCGTAGACTAACAATTGATAGTAGAACACCGTCTGTTTGTTTGATGATCTTTTTAACCTTATTTGAAGACATTTGAAAAGACGACATTTTTTTTTTCAAGCAAACACATTACTCAAAAATATATAAAAATGCTCACCCTGTCCTCCTCCTGTTCTCTGCTTTGTTAATTTTCCACTATTTTGAATGATGCTAGCGGTCGGCTTTTCCCTACGTCCACTTCCCCTTGGAAGATGATCGAGTATTTTCCGTGAAAAAGTTCGTCGATCACCGGCTGGTACGTTTCCGTCACCCGCTGTGGTAGAAATAGCACTTCCGGTCCTAAATCTAGTAGCACGGCTTCCCCAAATTTCGACTTGACCACTTTAGCTGCTTGGATTGCAAATGGTGTCCCAACTGGTAGGTCCTTTAATTTTCTGATAGGTTTGCGGTCTACAATCGAAGACGCAGCATTAATTTTTGATAAATCCATCTATAAAAAAAAATTGAGTCGTCTACTATTTGAAGCATAACACGAAAAAAAAAACAGTTGCACTTAGAGACATAAAAAAGAAAAATATTAAATAAAATAGCACTTACTTTTTTAAAATTTTCGCTCTCTCGTCTCTCTCGAAGCACTATTGTACTGCGGTCGTTGTTGCAGCTTGCAGCGTTGTGCGTTGAGTGTGAAACAATGATGACTATTGCATGCGCTCGCTCAATATAAGTACGTAGTTGAGATGACACACGCGTGCATGAGATAATTGTATCGTAAATATGCATATTATATGCATCATATTCTCAGTACCATTTTTATCGAGAAAACAACATTCATTGCGGTTGCAGTATTTTTTATATAATTTCTTAGTAATACATGAATGTATCGTTTGTCCGGCGGAAATTCCAATTACAAGTTGCACATGAGAGTAGAATTTTAGAAATATAGAAATTCGTGTATGATTATTGTATATTTGCTGCCTAATTTTTTTTCAGTCAAGATTTTGATTGGGGGGTAAACGAATTTATATTTGCTATCTGAGATTTTTGACATCATTCTCTATCAAGATGTTGATGTGGGTAGACGTATTATTTTTTATTTCAACTTTCACATACGTGCTTTGCAACGATTTCTCCGAAAAAGACGCTATAGTATACCTAACTCAATATGAACATATCATCGATAATACAACAGATCTCTCTACTTTGCTAACTAACTTGCAAGAAAGTATAATTTACCAGTGGATGGATTGTTGAATAATGCAACAATTGAATTTATGAATCGTCCGCGTTGTCAATACAGTGATGCTGAATTTAGAGCAAGTTTTCCATTTCGGAAACATGACCTGAAATGGTATTTCCCTCGAAACACACCTGCGGCCCAAAAAGATGCAGAAATGGCTTTTCAGATGTGGCAAAATGTTTCAAACTTAACATTTACAATGGTTACCAATCCCACTCTATATCCTCCTGATATTACTATAACCATGGTTAGCAAGACTCATTATTTTAGAGCAAACTGTATGGGTAATGATGAATGTCCATTGACATTAGATGATGCTGGCGGCGTTTTAGGACATGCATACTTTCCTGACTCTAGCGGCACCTGTAGAGAAATCCATTTAGATATAAATGAACGCTGGTATTTTGGAAATAATCCTAATATACCCAAAAATCAAACTAGTTTTCTTATGGTGTTGGTTCATGAAATTGGACATGCCCTCGGCATAGCACATAGTGCTTCTCCGAATGCTATTATGTTTGCCTTCTATCAGCATGAGATTCGTGGTCTAGATGTTGATGATATAAATGCAGTACAATATCTATATGGAAGAAAAAACAAATATGATTCAATCCCAAAGTCTACCACCGCATCAGCAATACCAAAAACAACAACAACAACTATAAGATCTACAACTCGTAAGCAGCCGATCCTCAAAAATTTGTGTGATATTATTCCAGATTTTATGTTTTTAGCTATTGCTCCAGAGTTTTCAAATTACCGATTATATATTGCACATGATATGTTTATATGGAAACTAGACTTAAACGAAATGATTATCCCATCTCAGCCTGAACTTCTTGTCGATTATGTTCCTACAGAATTACGTCAATACACTTTACAACATATTTTCCAATCAACAAACGGTGACTTGATTACCATTGTGTCTCCAAACAAATATTTCTCAGCATCATTCCCTACCATTAAATTTCTTGATAATTTTTCAATTGATATACCCGATAGGGCTCGAATCAATGCTATTTTTCAATCAAACGCAGGACGGTCCTATACCTTTTATAATAATATGTCATATATAGAATTTTCTAACGATTTTACTGATGTGTTGAACAGAGGACGGATAAGAGACATATTTCCTGGGTTACCTGAAGATATTTCTCTCGCATTTCGATGGATTGATGGCCATATTTACTTTTTCCGTCACGCAACTTACTATAAATTTAATGAATTTACAAGAAAAGTTGTTGCGACCGGACCATTTCATTGGACTCTATTTGGAGTACCATGCCCCAGCGAGGATTTGTTACATCAACTAAAAACTCTGTTATCTAAACTTGTATCTGTATATCATTAAAAAAATACATTTTTCAGAAAGCTATGTTTATTTCGTATTCAGCACTAGCAGTGCTACAGTATCAATCATTCAAACCAGTCGCAAGCAATTGTTTTGTTCAAAAAGAGGTAAAAAATGGTAAAACCAAAAATAACCAGCGAGGAGGCTCATTACGAGGCTTTTAGGGAAAAATTAAAAAACAACCAGAACTGAACCGTGAAATACATAATTTGATTCTTGTCTGTCATGAACCAAATCAGTTGTCGAAGAATGATTTGAGTCGATTAGTATCAACATCTAAAGTACTCCCTGATAATTACAAGAATCACTTAAAACAATCATTCAATCTACCTGCACGACCAGAACACAGCGATATTGATTCAGACGACACTGTAGGCAACTGAAAATTTCATACACACACACACACACACACACACACCAATCAACCTTATTGTTATATATACTATATGTTTCAATAAAATATCCATTATACTATTTTCATTTTGAACGGTATCATCCTGTATAATAATAACAGTACATCGTATACAGGTTATGAGACATTCTGACCGACCGACCGACCGACCAGAGGAGCCCACCACGCTATTTAGGTCACGCCTTGCTATATACGATTTAACGATATACCGTCGGTCCATCGATCCGCTATTTTTCGATGCACCCCTGTATACACGTTGCCCCCCGTAATCCACGCCAACACCAGACAGGTGCGACATCGGCGCCATCTATGCGCGAGATGCCCAACCCATCAATGGCAGCTGTCCAATGACACATAGATTCCGTTTGGTTTGTACAGCGCCAAACAAATCGGCGCCATCTATGCGCGAGATGCCCAACCCATCAATGACAGGTGTCCAATGACGTATGACAGATGACGTGTAACGCCATCTATGCGTGAGATGCCCAATGACGCATGACAGGTGTCCAATGACACACAGATTCCGTTTGGTTTGACAGCGCCATCTAGCGGCGGAATCCCCAACTCATGAATTTCGATTACAGATTCCGTCCAACAACCTGTCAATGGCGCGCGACGCCAGCGCCTCTGGTGGCGGATTTTGGAACTACTGAGATCGAATCCCCATAGACCATCTA